AAGCTTTACATGTAGGATTGTAAAAGGGGGATAAATAATAACTCCTATAATGATAACACTTTTTCCCTTTTCACTATGTATAAAATCATACTGAATACAACATGAAAAAGCACTTAGTATTCACTTCATGTAATATTTGAAAATTGAAAAGGTTACCCAATAATTTAGGATCAGAAATTCAGATATTGATTCTTTGACTAAATTTTTCATGCCAAATGATCATATATTGAATAATTGAGACAGCTTTAAAATTTTTTTCCACACCTTATGTAGTTTAAAATATGCTGGCCATTAAAGTATTATGTATATTGCCTACATACCATCATATTCTAAGAAATCATAAAGATTTATTTAGCACCTGTTAATTATGTGACATGAAGTTCAATATCAATCAAGTTTATTTACTAGGAGGAAAATATTGTTAAAGTCAACAATGACGGAAATTGTCTTAACCGATCAGTGTAGTATTTATTTCTCAAACAGTATCCACAAGCAGTTGGCTTAGCCCAAAGGCGCAAAAAGGAAAAAACTGTAATGTGAGGGAAATATTTTGGCAATTTCTAACATTTCATTTTTCTCTTCTTTAAATAACAGTTGAATTCAGTTCTTGGTGTTACACGTGGCTACATAATTAGAAGACAAAATACAGAAATATAGAGGTGAGGTTTTGCCAACTACACCTTTACCTCACAGTCAACGACATCATCCTCAATTTTACCCAAGAATTTCACAGTCATTTTGCAATGATTCCAGCAAACAAACAAGAAGAAACTGATACTTGTTCATATACAGTAACAATAGGCTTAGAGTTCAGTTCATTCCTACTATGTGCTTTGGCTCCAATGCCAAGAAGTTCTTTATTCAAATAAATGCATCATTACTTTCTCATAATAAATAACATTAAATATTCAGCTGAAAATTTTCAACATATTTGAAAAGTGTAGTGTTTCTCTGTCACAGAAAACTCATCAATGTTATAGAAAAACTGCATTTTAAATCAGCTCTAATATCCTGGGAGCTTCTTTTAAAAATCCCCCAAATCCTGGCATACCACCGTGAGCTGGGCCTGGTCCCCTGGAGGCAGGTGCCAGCTGCACTGCTTATGCTCAGCTTCCTTCAGCCACCCCACAGAGACTATTGGCAGCCACCTCAGAGCGGTAAAAATAAACTCCAAAGTATTTTTAACATAACACAACAAGGCTCTATGAAAGAAGAAGCCCATGAGTTAAAAACAGCAGCATTTTTCTTTTACCTTCCTGTGAGTTCCATTCAAAAACACTTTTTCAATATGATCATAATAGGCATCACACCAGTATAATGTGTTGGTGTGAAAGTCCAGAGTTAAACCGTTTGGCCACAGCATCTTTGAAGTCACAAAAATCTGCCGACTGAAGCCATCCATCCAGGCCTTCTCAATCCTTCCCACGCTGTCATCTATTTCATCTTCTTCCCAGTCTGTCCAATACATCCAACTAAGATATTCACAAACAAGAGGGCACACGTGTTATTTCAACTAGCCGCCGTATACAGACACTTCCTCAGATTTGGCCCTTCCATAAAATCTAGTTACATTCTGATTTTTTCTCCGATCTAAATGCTTATCTGTCAAAGGGAAAGGGACAACTGTAAAGTTTTAAGAGATGTAAGGATTTATTCAGTGATACCAACTTATTAAGCCTTATTACAGAAAATCCACCGCCACCCCTCTCACACTTAATGGCTTCATGCATTAATTAACCAGGTAATAAGTGTCAGATATCTATTTTCTTTGGTATTGATAACAATTCTAGAAAATTATTTTTTGAGGGGCATTACTGTTTCAAAATGTCCACTTCAAAGAGTACATAATCAATTATGTGATTAAAAAGCAGACTTGGTGACATGAGAACTCACAGCAGAGTTGATGATCTACTCCAAACTTTATTTAATCTCAGATGAATTATTATTTTTTAAAGCAGGCGATTGGATTGCCTTTGTTCTAAAGGGCACAGTCATACTGGGTTTGTTTAGCCAGTCCTAATTTGTCTTCCTAATGCAAATGATCTGTGCTTTATTACTGCTTATTATTACCCCAAAGCCCACAGAAGATGATTTAGCTGCACATAAGTTTAATAACAGCAGGTTGACTGACCTTGAGATTTTGAGCTTTAATTTCTATCTCACACAAAGGCATCTGCCTTTAAAAACAAATCTTTTGTCTAAGCTCTGACAGTGGGAGGGGGGCCTTGAGCTAATGTTTCAATTCCCTCATGAATAAGGTTAAAACCCACCACATGTGTTGCTTCAGGGTCATGTGAAAGTTCTTGAGTTATTAATTAAAGTGTAGATTTTAATTCAATCATTCCATATACTTCATAGTGCTCAATGCTTTTCTAAGCTGCTGACCCAAGAAATACCCTGATTAGATCTCCTGCCTGTCACATTTTGTGGAGCCTAAAGAATTTCTGAGGTAATTTGGGAAAAATCTGTATCCATGACTAAAAATCCTACTGTGATCTAAACTGGCAGATGTCTTGGAAAGGGTGATGTAACAGACCGTTCATTATTTCCTACCAATGAAGCTCTTTTTTAACTCTCTTAACAGTTTGCAGTTATGTTGATATGCCTTTTTAGAACTGAGGAGGTAAATCGAGACTGCTGAATTTTATGCATTCTAGAAATACAAGTGGCAAATGCCTATCTCTTATCCTGCATTTCCTTAGAGTGGATTTAACATTGGGTCAAGTTTGGAATAAACAGGAGAGTCATTCTTTTGCTCTAATTCTACGCTAGTTATACATAAATACTTGGCCTCAGCTATGTAAATCAACTATATAAAAGTAAATTGTTCACTTTGTTTATCTCTATTGATTATTTTCCTGAAGTCTTATGAACATTTAATCAATACAGTTTTATTGTTGCTAAATTATAACTTGTTAAAATTATCTTTCCCTGTAACTTTTCCTTTTGATCATGGATATACTTTTTTCTGTGACTAACCTGAACCAAATATAGATGTGTGCATTTACACACACACATACACACAAGAGAAATAAATATGAATATTCTAAATATATTGTACATTGTCTCACCACTTGAAAAAAAAATGAATTGTTTGTGGATGGAATCACATAAGTTCATATATATATATATATTTAAATAGAATATAAGAAAAAAATTTTCTATGTAAACAATGCTTGTCTGCTTGATTAATGATATATATGTGATCATCATCTACTGATTTAATTATCTGTTTAAAAGTATACTGTGAAAGTTTTAGAATAAATATCATATGATGATAATTCTTAAGTATAGAAAATGAGAACTATAACCTACAAAATAAGCAGGAACTAAAGATTTTCCTAGGTGGCTATCTGGATATTCACCACATGAAAACATGGTTAATAGAGCTTTCTGCTAACATAGCGAGAAAAATTCTACCTCTTCTTTCAAAGCTCGTCCAAGTACAAAGTTTTGATGATGTTCATCAGTAGCCTTCGTGGAGAGAACAGTCAAAATAAGCTCTTTCCTCTGTTTTTTAGTAACGCATTTCAGTTCTTCTCTATTTATTGTATGCATCATATTTAATGGTATTGCATCTCTAATGATTCAAATTAAAATTAATATAACTAAGGGAAGAGATTATGCCTTATTTATATAAAGTTGCACCCTTGGATACAAACAGCTTTATTGAGATTAATTATGTTCCCAAATTCAATTGCCTTATGAGGTGCCCCATACTAGAAATAATCCTTAAATGCTTCACTGCTATGGAAATAGAATAGTGTGTTTTCCATTGAAAAACTTGACTTAGTTGCTAACTAGGAGGGTGTGGTCCTTTAAGATAGGGATATAAAAGGATCCTTTTATTTTGGAAAAATATATGGTCAGCAGGGGATGCATGTTGTATAGATGGCCTTACAATATGCCAGAACTGGAGATGTAAGTTTCTATGTTGTTGATATAAATTGTGAAATGTGAAATTATTGGAAAGTTATAGTTATTATAGTTATCTGATTGAGAGAAAATGCCATCAACATCTCTTCTTTTATTTTTATTGCCATTTCAACAATTGTTGACGTCTGTCATCCCAGTCTTCAGCTTCTCCTGTCTCAGGAGGTCTCTACTTTTCTGTACCATTATAAATGGTACTGTTCAAAAAGGACTCCTACTGGGCATTCTTTTTCAAATCTATTGTGTTTTGCAAGCAGCTATCATATTGCCATCGGTTGTTTTTCTAAATTCCTTTGGAAATCTTATTCGAACTTTATGACTCAGATCTAAACTAAAAACTTCAGTGACGTTCTGAAAAGCATCTATTTCATTCTACTTTATCTTCCTGTTAAGTGTATGTGTTTGTGTGAATGTAGGTGTACCCTGCATACCAGACTATAAGCTCTTTGAGAACAATTATTTATTACTGATTTCCACTGATCTATAGGGTAGTTACTGAATAATAAATTTTAATAAAAACTTAATGAGAAAATCTTGTATTGGTTCTGAGCTTTTGAAAAAGCATATCTCTAAAATGAATTATTTTTGTTAATAGGCTTGTATGGTATAGAAAATCTGTCATTCTCTTCTGTGTACAGCTGCAAATAGATATTATGGTGGCAAAAACGTAAGTAAATCAATTTTATGCAAAAATTACTTAAATTATGTTATTTTGAATGGAGTTTTACAAATTAAAACTTTTCTTTAAAGTTATATATAAGGCTGCAACAATTATTTGAATAATTAAGTTCACATAGTTCATTTTTGCTTGTACTGCCTTCCAATTCATTCTCTATGAAAAAAATAAGATTAGTCTTTTTAAAATATAAATTTAATTGTATCACTTCTCTATTTTACCCTCTCACTGAAGAAAAAATACAAAGCTCCCGTCATAGCTGGCAAGGCCCTGCTTTTCTTTTCAATCTCATCTTTAGTGACTTTTCCTCCTGCTACCTAAAACCCAGCCCCACTGCCTTCACTCCCGTGCCTCTGCCATCCAAGCTTTTGCCCAGTTTAAGATTATTAACTGAACCATTTTATTAATCTGAAATACTCTGCCTTCTATTCTCCATGATTAGTTCCTTCTCTAGAAGAGAGTCTCAGCTTATATGATGCCTCTGTAAAGAGGCTTTCTCAGCAAACTCATTTAAATAGTTTTCTAACTATTAGTCTCCAAAATATCAACTTATTTGTTTTTCTCTACCACTTTGATCTATTGAAATTACATTTGGTGCTTATTTATTTATTGCTCTTTTGTTACTAAATTTGTTCTTATATTACATATCTCTCCACTGGGAACTTTGTAAGAAATAAGTCTATGCCTGTTTCCTTAACAACCATACACCTACTGCAGAGCTCTGGGTATAACATATTGTCAGAGAAAAAGATGTGTGTGTGTGCTTAAATACCCATATATACATTCACATATACACACACACACATACTTTTTCTTAAGATTTGTGCATAATAGTTAATAGAAGTTTTCTCATTTTATTTGGATATTTGTGACTAATGGAACAGGTATATCAGTCATTCTTTGTTATGTCAAGGGAAAACAGAGGATGAGATGGTAGACTGCCATAACAAAGACACAGATGTTGTCTTAATGAAAAGAAAAGAAATCGTATCAATCAGAATTGTCTCCAAGGAGTGTGAACTCCGTAGATGCTATAGGTTTCAAGTACAAGTTGAATGTTTGCTTACTTGGGGGGTGTTGAAGGAGATTTGCTGGATTTGATAAGAAAGATGGAACTAGTGGTTTCTAAACTTCTTTCTAAATTATATGATTCTGTGTATGTCCTGTGTATGATGCCTGTGTATTTATTTTATCTCTCTAAGCACAACAAAGACTATTTAATGCTGTCAGAAAACACTTTTCTCTAACAGAATACCAAAAAGGGAGATGCTCTTCTAAGACATATTTGAAACTTCTTGCTTCAGGTATAAATGAATGTTTGGAATAAACATTCTCTATAAATTCAGATAGCCTTGCTTTAAAGATCACCTGGTTTAAAAGTCTGAGAATGAAACAGATAGTTATAGAATTCACACATAAAATCACTAAAATTACTTTAAAATTCTGCCAGTGAAAACATGTAAAATTAGTTTATCCATTGCCTAGGAAGAAACACCCTGATCATAATTGGAACAACTGTCAACACAAACGATTCTATGTGCTGTAATTTGGTGATCCGAGTTTATAAGAGATTCACACGCCTCTTATCTAATTAATTTGTTTTGAATATGTGTAGTAAGGTATCAAGAATATTCACTTTGTGAGGTTATTCTGAAACAACAACATATAAATCATGGAGGGAAAACACACACACAAACAATTACAAAAAAACTCTGTCAAATATGCAATGTATTAGTTTAATTATGAAATTCTTTCAGGGAGTTCTACATTCCTTTGATATTTTTGTAAGTACAGTTTTGGATTCAGGTAATAGTGCTGAACAAAAATCAAAAGAAAATATTTTACTAAGAATTAAACAAAATATTCCATTCTAAAACAATGTCTACTACAAAATGATGCCCCCATCTGAGAATTAACATGCTAGACAAAGCAATGAAGTATAGTGGCCAAGAGTAAAGTTTTAGAGACAGGCTGCGTTGGTTTAAATACCTACCTAGTATCTTACTAACTGAACGGTCTTTTGTAGGTCAGTTATCAGTTTTTCCTTTCTATCATAAAATAGGAGTAATAATAGCAATTAATTAAAAAATTATGGTGAGAATTATAGAATAGCTGCATAGTAATCTATTTAATGAAATGCCTGGCCTGTTGTAAATGTAAAAAAACCTTTTGCTATTTTTTTACATACATTGCATTTCAATTGCCTTTAAAAATTAAGTTAATTGATTTTTGTATTGAAATTATTTTTTATGTTGCTATTAGGCTGTTTAAAGAATTATAGTGCTAATCTGAATGAATCAAGTAATATAACCTTTATATATAAAATCTACTTATTTCAATTTAGTGTACTTTGACAAGTTTATTTAGTACATTTCCCAGTGAGAAAATCATGAAATGCATCCCTTTTCTCAATCAGACCATTCACTAGTGTATTTTCCGGTACATGTGCATTTAAATAAGGATGACTATTATTAAATATGTTAAAACAGATTTATTATCATTCTCCTTATATGAAACTGTTCAAATTCATACCCATTGACTGGATCCACCACAATCCCTCTGGGATGAGACATTTCTCCCTCTAACAGAGTCTTCCGACTCTGAGAAGCCTTTTCCAGTCTCGCCACGTTAATGGTTTTCCTCTGGCCATCATTCGTCCAGTAAAGGTTATTTCCAATCCAGTCCACAGCAATTCCCTCCACATTATCCAGATCTATTAAAAAAGGAAAAGTAAGAAATAAATAAATAAATTTTTTATTTAATTCAAAAAGCAATAGACTCTGATTCAGGAATTTTTTGTGCCATGATTTTTGCAAATATTATTATTCCATAGAATACTTTTCAATTTTATTTTGAATGTCCCTATATGTGAGTAATACATCCTTTCTCTTTGCATGGATTTTTCCATTGTACAAGTGCTGACAATTTAATCCTGGTGGTTAAATATTTTTATTGAACTTTGGTTTACTGTAATTGAGACAGTATCCTGCAGAAAATCAGGAAAACATAAGTGATATGAGTAAAAAAGTATGAAAATAAGTGAAAAAAAAACAGTAATAAAGACTGTTAAGAAGAAAAATCCACTGGTACTATATGTAACCTAAGAAATCAAAATGATATAAATGTCCTCTTGCACAGAGATGAAAGAGGTGCACACGTCTGAAAGGCCAGAACAGGCTTTCATCTCAGAACGGCATCAAGAGCAAACCTCAAAGAATCAGTACTTACGGATATTTTGGACATATTTTAAAAAAGAACCCCATTAAATGTTTGTGTTCTAAGAGTCAGCCAATGATAAAATCAAACGATACTATAAACATATAATTTTATGAGATCAGCTAATCTAAACCCTTTATTTTACAACTGGGGAAAGTAACACTGCCAAGTGAAGGCAGTTGCTTGTGGTCTATTATCATTCAAGAAGCAGCAGAAATGAGATAAAAAACTATGCCATCTGATCCCCAGAGTGGAAACCTTCAGAACCGCATAGTTACATTTTGCCACTTTGTAAACCATGCTCCAAATGGTCCACAACATAATAAAGACAGTTCCATTCTTCATTGCATGTGAAATTACTGTGAACTCTCTCTCTTATTTATTTCTTTTTAAACTGAGGAAGTCTGTTACACAGACTTTTTTCTGTCCTGGGTGTGAGTACAGGACTGTGATTTACCAGACAGGACCATAGTTAGTAGCATATTAGAGACAGAGCTGTGTATTCACACACTGCTTAGAAACCACACACCCTCACACCCAGACGTAACAAATATTAGGTTTTATTTTATTCTTTAGTCATGGCCCTTCTGACTCTGGGAATTTTTTTTTTCTTTTATAACCCTTTCTGCTTATCAACATGTACTCTGATTCAGGATGACTAATACAAAATGTGATTTGATCTAACTGAAAATCTCATTATAGTGAATAAGATATGTTCTCAATTTCAGTAAGCTGCCTGCTTTATTACCATCCAATATGAGTAATTTTAGCAGGTTAATTGTGCCTATGCTTAGGAAAAGGTTTAATTTTATCTTTACTTACTAAAACAATTTTACTGAGCGCTTTCCTGTTCTGGCTTAATGGAGAAAGTGTAATTTCTTACTCTTATTTTTTATTTATCATGGTGTGTAGCTGATTTTTATCTTGTTAGTTTTCAAAAATTGGATTACATTTAAAACTACTCCAGCATGGAAAATCTTCATGCTGGATAATACTTTTCTTTTTAAAACTTTCTCTTTTGACATATGACTTGAGATTTTTTTTTCTTCCATATGAAGCAGGTTAAATACTGTAGAGATGGAAATTATGTTTCTGACACTTGGGTAAGCAACTCAGTCACTCTGCTCCTTAATTTTTTCATCAATAAAGATAATAATAGCATTTTCTCCATAGGGTGATGACAAAGGATAAATTAGCTACTGTATGTAACACTTAGCACACTAGAATAGAATATCATAACTTCTCAGTATATGCTAGTTTTTATTAATTTGTCAGGATTAAAAATACTGTACATCTTAAAAAAATAGACAACTATTATTTATAAATGAAAGTAACAGATAATTTCAAAAAAGAAATTAGAACTTTGGAAAAGAGACTTTGGAAAAAACAAAATAATAAGTAGAAGTTAACTGATCAACGTATTCTATAATAGCCATACTTCTATCTGAAAAAAAAAATAACTGTACATCTATTCTGGCTTTTTTACTTATCAGTGCTACTTAATGGAGTATAGCTTTTGTTTTTCTCCTTTAAAATGATTTTTTAGTAATATTTTCTTGCATTTTTTACCACTGGCCAACTTTAACTCGAAATACTACATGCAGAGTCACTTATGAAGAAATATTAATGCAATAGAACTGACTTCTAAGGAGCAGGATTTGGTAGAATCTTGTCTCTGAGACAAGATCTAACTATTTTGTTTTTGAAAAAGTGAAATTCTTAAATGCTATAAATGGTGTGTGTGAGCTCAAGTTCTAGAAACACGTTGCCAGGTTCTGCCACTCATTATCTACTTCACCTTTCTCTTCAATTCCTCTGTCTTTAAAATGAGTAGAATGGTAGTGTTTAACTCATAGACATGCCTTGAAGATTAAATGAAATAAATATATGTGAAGTTATTAAAATAATGATTGGCACATAGAAGATGTTATATGAAAGTTGCTATTAGTATTATTAGTATTATGATAGTTTATTATTATTACTACTGTATAATCTTCCTTTCAGCTAACTCTCTTGTCTATTCACATAGTAATAAAACAATTTCCTTACAGTGATTTTTTTATTATGTTCTTTGTTATGTTTTGTTTGTTTTTCTGCTTTTTCTTTCTTTACAGAAAGAATAAAGGTGACTAAAGATTAAAATAAGAAAACTCATGTAAGGATCTATGTGCCAATGAGAAATCTTTTTTGGTAATTTTTAATGGGGCAAGAAAGAAGCTTCTGTCTTATAGAACAAAGTACGAATGATCAATTAACCCCTTTTTTCACAAATATCCATTGATAAGGGCAACATTCTGCTTCCATATTATTTGGTCTGCTTTTGATTAACTTACAATGTAGAAAGAAACCTAAGATAGGAATTGAATTAGACTTACAAACATTTAGTACTTTATTATTGTTTTTGTTTTTATTTCAGATTAAATATGGGGGTACAAACGATTAGGTTATAATGTTTACATTTGTTAGGTAAAGTTTCTGTTGTAGTTGTGTCCTGTGCCCAAAGGTGAGTGTGGTATATACTGTTACATTGTACCCATTAGGTGGGAGCCTCCAATGTACTCAGTACTAATATGAAGCCAGTAGAAGAACTAATAATACATTTGATACTTTATTCAAAGGGGCCTGGTTAAGTCCTACATTTGGGTGGAGGATCTGAGGCCACATGTGGCCCCTCCAGATTTCTAAGCAAGGCCCTTCAACTGAGGTTGATCTGTGAATCAAACTTTACAGAACAACCACCACCACCACCCCTTTTTTGAGACAGAGGCTCCTTCTGTAGCCTGAGGCTAGACTGCCAAGGTATCAGCCTAGCTCACAGCCACCTCAAACTTCTGGGTCCAAGTGATCCAACTTCTCAGATTTCAAAGTAGCTGGTAGCACAGGTGCCCACAGCAGTGCCAGCCAATTTTCCTATTTTTTAATAGAGACACAGAGACAGGGTCTCACTCTTGCCCAGGCTGATCTCAAACTACTGAGCTCAAGGAATCCTCCCGCCTTGGACTTCCAGAGTGATAGGATTACAGGCATGAGTGAGCCACCTCATCCAACCTACAAATCTCTTTTAAAAAGGGCTGCACTCAAGGAAACAGAAGGCATGTGGTTAAAGCAGCAGGTTCCCCATCCTATACCCATTTTCCTATTTCAATAGACATGTACTATCAACATGTTCATACCTCTCCAATAAAAAGAGAAATTCTAGTAGATAATGGTTTTATATAAATTTTTTGATTAAGATTATGTTTGTATTTTCCATACTAAGTGAAAGAATTATCTATATACTTCAGATAATAAGGGGACTTTTTCCTATACTTTCCAGTTAAGATTAATATTGTATTTTTGCTAATATTATTTAAAATTTCCACATTTTCCTTTGTAAATATGGTTTAGTAATTTCAGAATGTAAACATGGTTTAGTAATTTCAGAATAGCTTGTATAAATGGAATACTATAAGAGTAGTACTTTAAACATACATGTAAAGGTAGCCTTGGTACTTAATTGCGTGGTTCACTTAAGTGAAAAATTCTTAAAACTAATAATACTATTAGTTTTCCTCCTACAAGGAATACCTACTATTAAGGAAATAAGGATGAATAATAGAAAATAAAAGTTATGTAAATTAAAAAGAATAATGATCTGGATTTAAAAAGAATTAATAAAATAGTAATGTTCTTTAAAGGAATTTAAAACTTTGACAAAATAAGGTTTTTAAACAGAGCTGTTTTGAAAAAAATACTCAATGTATTTCTAAAACTGAAACTCTATTACAGGTCAGATTTTTAGATATTATACATATATTTAAAATATAATCTCCTACTTTTAATTTGGATCTATGATTTAAAAAAAAAAAGGCTGAGGTTATGAATAGTTAGTTGCCTTAGTTTTAAGTTCATAATCTGGACTTCCAAAGAGTGATCCATAAGTGCTGATGTTTTATAAAATAATTTGATTAATACAATAAGCAATTAGTTGGGAATTACACCCCCAAATTGAAATTATAAAAACACAATATTTACTTTTTTTTTTTTTCACTTTATCCACGTATACCCATGGTATATTTAGCATCCTTAGCATGGACATCACTTTAGAAATTGGAACAAAAGAGTACAGAGTATGATGTGCCTTAAATAACTAGACCTGCAGCAGGCAGGTAGATATGCTGGGGCCAGCAGTGCCTTACTCTGCCTCACTCTGCCTCAGAGTCAGCAGGTAGACATGCCTGGGGCCAGCAGTGCCTCGCTCTGCCTCAGAGTCAGCAGGTGGACATGCCTGGGGCCAGCAGTGCCTTACTCTGCCTCACAGTCAGCACTTGGACAAGTCTCCCACCTCCTATTCTTCTAGTTCAATTAACACAAATTCTCTTTGTGTTATTCAATATGGCCTGAGGCATCACAGCTCTTCTTTATCTGACATGAGTGAATGACCTCCATTTAATTAATACTGTGGCAGCAAAAGTTTGCTTACTGAATTTGCTATCTCTGGAGGTTTTAAGGGTCTGT